CCAGCCATATGTCTTGGACACTCAGGTGAAGAGAGGGGCGGAGCTGTCAACTGATCACCACCTGGTGGTGAGCTGGATCCGATGGCGGGGGAGGAAACTGGACAGACTCGGCAGACCCAAATGTATTGTGAGGGTCTGTTGGGAACGTTTAGCAGAATCCCCTGTCCGAGAGATCTTCAGCTCCCACCTCCGGCAGAGCTTTGACCAGATCCCAGAGGAGGTTGGAGACATTGAGTCTGAGCGGACCATGTTCTCTGCCTTCACTGTCGATGTGGCCATTCATAGCTCTGGCCGTAAGGTCTCCGGTGCCTGTTGTGGTGGCAATCTCTGAACTGGAAGTAAGGGATGCCATCAAGCTGAAGAAGGGGTCCTTTTGAGCCTGGTTGGCTTTCGGACACCTGAGGCAGCTGACGGGTGCCGGCAGGCCAAGCGGACTGCAGCCCGGGTGGTTGTGGAGGCCCTCTTTTCAAGAAGGGGGGCTGGAGGGTGTGCTCCAACTACAGGGCGATCACACTCTTCAGCCTCCCTGGGAAAGTCTATGCCAGGGTACTGGAGAGGAGAATTCCACTGATAATTGAACCTTGGATCCAGGAAGAACAATGGGGTTTCGTCCTGGCCGCGGAACACTAGACCAGCTCTATACCCTCTTCAGAGCAATAAAGACTTATGTATTGTGCAGTGCTGAAAAGACAAAAGGGACAGAGGTTTCTAAATGAATCTTAATAACAGGTTATTGACTTTTCATTGATTATGAATCATATCTTTCATTATAAGTAATATCATATATCAAAATAGAAAATCTGCAATAAGCTGTTGTGTCTTAAATAATACATAATTTCTTGACCATTTCACACAAAGATCACAGTCCCTGGACAGCATTTATGAGCTAATCAGTCACCACCCTGGAGTCTTCACTGGCCAGCTGATCATAGGTTAGACCTGGTCAGGTAAAACAGCGAATCCCTGTACAGGAACATTCCCAGACATGCAGTAACTTCAGGCCCTGTATTTTTCTCCACACCCTCTGGTCACAGTGCAACAGCAGGAGATAAAAAATATCCGCAAAACAGGGCGTAGTCAAAAAATTTCACTTGTACGATGGCACCAGTGGATGTTAGGCAAGCTCACATAAACACGCAACATCCTCAGTTTTATGCCCATTCAAGGAGATTCTTAAACTATCATGTAATACTTTATTTTGTTAGAAAAAAAAAAGTCTTGCGAGCGATGGTTTGTGAGATGTGTATAAACATACATACACCTAATTTTTTGAGCTTTAGGTCATGTCTAAGGAAAAACAAGGAAATACATGCCATGGGCCCTTTAATAAATGGCATGGTGGCGCAACGATTAGTGCAGTCCTTGCGCTTCACAGCAAGAAGGTTCTAGGTTCAAGCCCCAGCTGACCCGGTACCTTTCTGTATGCAGTTTGCATGTTCTCCCTGTGCCTGTGTACTCCGGCTTCCTCCCACAGTCCAAAGACATACAGCCTAGGTTTATTGGTGACTCTGAATTGCCTATAGGAGTGAATATGGGTGTATGTGTGGTTGTCTGTCTCTAAGTATCAACCCTGTGACAGACTGGCGACCTGTACAGAGTGTACCCCACCTCTCGCCCAGTGTCAGCTGGGATTGGCTCCAGCCCCCTCATCAGGGTAAGTGGTATAGATAATGGATGGATGATCCTTGACCCTGATGTGTGTGTGTTTTTCTGGCAGGTCACAGAGCTGGCAGGCTACACTGCAAGGGTCCACAACATGTTCGTGGTGTTTGAGGATGTCCAGAGGGGTGTTTACAAGCGCTCCTCTCTATCAGCCATGACAGGAGCAGAGAAAAAGAACAAACCTGAGATGCACATAGATGGTCCACTGGAGATAAAGGGTAGGACTGTTGTGCTGTCCACTCTGCCCACTATATTTTGATAGAATTCATCATCTAAATTAGAAGACATCAGCACTGAGTTATTGATTTGGCAAAAATGCAACTCCCTGCTGTGTATTCACCAAGGGGCTGTGTTGCTCAGCGGGGGGAGGGGTTGCAGGGGCACGCTTCCAGCCCATGAGCTTCTGCTGTATTTTGGCTAGCTATGCTGCTAATGTAGCCTACTCTACCTTAGTACCAATTTTGAGAGCGACTTGGCTGCAGACAAAAAGATAGCGAATTGGCGACCTCGACTGAAGGTTTGGACTGGTGTTTCTGGCAAGATGGCAGACTAGGTGCAACTTAAGCTTTGAGCTTTTTATGCGTAATCCAATTTTATAATTACCTCATCATCCAGCTTCTTGTTTTTGATTGTCCTTAAGTAATTACAACTTCTCTACCTTGAAATCCATAAGATTGAAACTTTTTCAAAGTAGAAAAACTGCCATGATGACTAAAAAGAACACCAGCATAGCCTGTTGCTCTGATGTATTGGACAACTCCCGAGAAGATGGAAGTCATTACCAAGAACTCTAAAAGAAAAGACCTCTTTTTACTCTTGAAAAACACACCAGCAGCCAAGAAAAAGTATGGTGAAGAAGAAATGAATGCTGTTTTGAATGCAATACCTTCATCCAAAACCCATATCTAGGGCAGCTGGCATAAGTAGAATAAATTCCTAGACATTACAAGTAAACAATAGCATCAAGGTCAGAGTTTGGATTAATTGCATAAATATCCTTGTGTAAACCTCCATTTGACATAGGCGTGAGTCTCCTGTTAGATTGTTCTGTTAAGCTAAGAAATAAATGAAGTGATAAAGAGGGTTTTTTTTATTTGTAATTACATAATTGCTGCTTTGTAGGTATTATTCCATTTATAGACAAACTAATTCTTTAATTCTGCTCTGATGCATGGTTTGTTTTTATCTGTATTTTGTTCTTTTGTCTCTCCAGGTGAAGTGATAGATGTGGACAAAGGCATTGTGTGTGAAAATGTTCCAATTATCACTCCCAACGGGGACATAGTAGTGACTTGCCTGAACTTTAAGGTGAGACCTCTATTGTATTCTGGTCTGCTGTATCTACTAGGGATGTAACAATACCAAAAGCTCACAGTACAATACTACCATGAAAAAAAGTTGCAATACGATATTTAGCGTTAGGAAAAATCCCCCCTAGTTTCATTATGATGAAAATGAACTAGATCCTTGCATTTCATTGTGTTACCCCCCTCAGGCTGTTGGCTAATATAATGTGCTTAAAATTACATATCAATGATGACAATTGAGTCAGCCACCACTTTTCGAACCATTCAGATTCAGATGCCCCTTCCTACTTGTATATAGTGTAATACACTGTGCATAGTGTCCCATCTCTCCTGGGGGCTGCCCCATGAATACAAATGTAACTAGAGAAATGCATTTCCTGTCGAAAATGCGTGTCGATGCTGAAGGATCGCCCTGAAAATGCCTGAAATCAATTGCTGAAAGAGCTGAAGGATGAGAAGAAATGGCTGAAGTTCTTTGGTGAAATAGTTGAAGGTTGAGAAGAAATGGCTGAAGTTCTTTGTTGAAATAGCTGAAGGATGAGATGCAATGCTAAACAACTGTGGAAGTTGAAAAAATGTTCAATAAATATGAAAGAGGAAAAGGAAAAGTTCAATAATTACTTTATATAAGATGAAATCAAAAGCTGAAGTTGTGTGTGAGCAGGCCCCACATAATAGGAAGAACAAGTAGGGGTGTGTGTGTCTGTTGAAAAAACCCAATTATTGTGAAAAGTATAAAGATTACAAAGAAGATAAATACAAGCAAAAATCTATAAAGAACATTTTGTTATTTGAATGGCAGGTACGCTGGAGTTAAGTGACCAGGTTTTCAAGACTTTCCCATTCATTTCATTGGGACATTTTTTGTTGAAAAAAAAAAAAAGAATTTATTTAAAAAGTATAAATATTACGAACAAGAAAAATACAATAAATAAAGAACAGGATAACAATAGTGTGGATGGTGACTCAGCATCCACACATTAATAAATTAAGAACAGGAAAACAAACTGCGGATGTCTTACAGCATCCACACAATGACTACATTTTTGCCCAACCATGTTACACTGTATACATGTTCTGTCGATCTTCCTGAGTCAGACAGATTAAGGATCTGTTGATCCCAAGGCCCTGTTCTTCATATGTAGGTGATTTAATTTTGTTTGGTTTCATTGGCGATAACTGATACAAGCCTGGGATAAAGATAGCTTTAAATTTGATCCCAAATTGTTGTTAGAGCAACATTGTTTTGACCTCAAATCTGTGAAAGCACATTATTTCTGAATCAAGATTTTTTTTTTTTAGGATGAATCCCCAAATTATTATTTTGCTAAGAGGCAGCAACGAAAACATCAGTATAATAATGCTTTTGAATGAGAACAAGTAAATTACTGAGAAATCATCTAGAAATCAGTTTTACTAGCTGTAGAATAATGGCTAATGCTTTAAAACTTTGTCTATTTAAAAAACTTCTGTGGGAGTATCTTTTTTTAAATGCTGCTAGCTGCTCAGACTAACAGACCTCTACAGACTACCATACACCAAATTTTGGCTGTGAACACAGGGTTAAGGTCGATACACCCGAGTACTCTGCTAACATTGAGCTAGTAGATATCAGGAAAATCTATTTACACTGTGCTTACACCAACAAGTTTAAGACTTTATACAAATATCATATGTCATAAGTTCCTTTTTTTATTTATGGTGTAGCTATATAAGTAGCCAACCAAAAAACTAGAGGCATTCAGTGATGCCTCCCAACAGTTTGATCTGGCTTCCAGCTGTAGCTCAGAATGGTTCAATGGCATACACAGAGAACAAACACCTACAGTACAGCTTATTCTGTTAAAAATCTGGATTCTCTGTGGAGAATGTTTTCAATCCTCATGTTGACATTTTACATTCCAGTGTGCAGTATAAACAGCAGCTGTCTGCACAACAAAGGTCACACACTCATTGATGCTTCTGCTGAAGGTTTCCTTTTCTCTTTTGTTGTAACTTTATCACTTAACTGACAGAGAGAAATTCTAAAGTGTTTGATTTGTACTGCTAACTTTTGTTCAGCCTCTTAATTTATATTTCTATACCTCTGTGTCTCTGGGCCCGAGGGTAATGACTTGTTGGGATGACTTGCTTGCAGCCAGTTAAGCACAATAGAAGACAAAACCAAATCCTTTTCCTTTCTAAAGTCTGTGTTTGCATACCTCCTGAGAGAAACAGCAACATTTGGAGCAACATGTTATACAGCTTTTAATCCCAGTTTTTAAATTATTTCCTCTACACTTTCTCTCTCCACAATTTTGTATCCTTATGATGTATTTTAATTATACTGAGGGCTGACTGCACCCTGGGGGGATTAATAAATTTTCTCCCCATTTCAGGTAGAAGAGGGCATGCACCTATTGATCACAGGGCCTAACGGCTGTGGCAAAAGCTCTCTCTTCCGGATCCTCAGTGGCTTGTGGCCTGTCTATGGTGGCCGGCTACACAAACCTTCTCCTCAACACATGTTCTACATCCCTCAGAGGTAAACACTCACCCACACCATGTTCCTATATCCCACAACAGTGAGTTGTAACAAAACAGCTGTGGGGTTTCATAATTGCACCCATAAACCTGACCAGTAATTTGATCCATTGTAAACGGATTTGTGTGTATGTTTGTGACAAAGAGTAACTGGATTTATCCAAAGTTAAACTTTTTAACATTTTATGGGATTGCAGACTGGTTATATCAGATATTCTGTATCATGAACTCAGTGTTGTGAGTATTTTCAGTGTCAATTAATCTGTCACTTATTTTATTGGTCTATTAATTAAATGGTTTGTTTATGTCTGATAACCAGCAGAGTTTCCTCCAACCCAAGTTAGCATATTCAAAAGTGTTGTTTTATGCAACAAACTGCCAAATTTGATGTTATTGTTTCATCATAAGCAATAAACTGAACATTTTTGATTCAGTTTAATATTTATGGTGAAACAATAACATCAAATTGTCACATTTTAAAAGCTGAGACCAGGAGAAATTTGATAGTTTTGCTTGAAATATGACTGAAACGATTATCACAATAGTTGCACATTAATTTTCCGACTCTTGACTATTTAGTTGTTTATGTAGCAAGTTGTCATCATGTTTTCTGTAAAATTTGTTAGCCTCCTGGAAATAGCTGTTTGATTTGTCAAAGACACCAGAAAAATGGGCATTGATGATAATTGCAGGAGGTGAGCGGAAGCTCCTGTTAGCTGAAGTGTCTCACCAATATCTTTAAGGTGGTTTCATATAAGGGACCCAGGCCCAGATCCAAGTACATTTGACCCCAAGGTCCATTTCATTTTGATCACTGTGAACACAAGCGTACCAGAATCGGGCACTGTGTACTCAAGTACAGTCCACTGGAGATGTAAACACAACCATGCTCAAACAAAGAAGTGAACTGCTATCTATTCCACTCTGTTGGCTAAAACAGTAACAAACATAGCTGTGAAAGGATCTCTGTGGAGTAGCAAAGAAAATGCTTGCTTGAAAATTGGGCCAATGAAAACATACAAAGATAACTGGATACTACATGCAAACGCTCTGAGATTTATGGAAGTCTTTGTCTTCTTCTTTCTGGTGGATTGCAAACCAGTTAGTTACATGCACACTGCCACCTACTTTAATCTGACTGTGTACATACACAAGTGTGCTGCCACATGGAACGGTGTTATTAATGTGAAAACAGACCTGAGGGGGAGAGGGAAGGGGGACCAATCATGCTTGGGCATGGCATGAAACAATCTTGCCTAAGGTGATAAAACACATCCTTAGTCAGGCCAGTGAAGACACTAATGGGGAAAGCAGCAGGGGAGACTTTACAGAATTCCTCCATCTCAGCCTGAAACCTTAGATTGAAACCTGGACTGCAGACTTATCTTAACACTTTAATGTGCAGCTGAGTTAGATTCCTGTTCTGGTGTGCCAGGGTAACAGACTGCACCATATTGAGATAACACTAGTCGCCTACTGTCAGTGACAGTAGTGCATTTTTAGAATTAGCTGTGCGCGATTGTCTATATTGATATGGCTGTTGGAGTGCCCCAATGTTCTGGGCTTCAAAAAGGTAAGATGACAAGTGGATCCTCCAAATGTTTCAGTAGTAGATGTAGTGCAGCCCCCAAACTGAACTGAACTAATACAAGTCAACTATACACTTACCCAGGGCTGCTTAGAGCTGCAAACTCAGCTGGCTCCCTCCTGCAGAGTGGTGAATATTTTATACATACTGTAGGATGAGATGGCTGCTTGGCAGCTATAACAGCATCCAATACACCATCTACTGCACAATAGAAACAACAGAAGCATAATGAGTGTCTTCCTCTTTTAGCATTTGTTCTTTTAAGTGTGTTAAAGATGTGTCCCTCTGTACACACACACTTTTTGTCAGCGTATTCTTTGTTTAGCATCTAGAGCACTTAATGAAATGAGTGGTTAACAAAGAAACACTCAGTGGATAATGTGTGTGTGTTTCTCTAGGCCATACATGTCCATAGGTTCGCTGCGGGACCAAGTGATCTACCCAGACTCTGTGGAGGACATGGCTGCCAGGGGTCTGAATGACAAGGACCTGGAAGCCATCTTGGATATAGTCAGCCTCAATCACATAGTCACCAGAGAGGGAGGTAGGATGAGTAATAAAGAGAGCTTTACATAGACTTAACATTTATATTACAAATGCAGCCTACTTTAAAACTAGACAAAATAACCATCAAAAAAACTATCACAATACAAAATAAAAATAAACAAATTGTAATTGCCATTCAGTTTTTCTGGGGTTTTATGTTATGCATGGACACCAGCCAGAAGCTTGATCTCATATACTTGGGTATTAATTGTATTGCCTAAACCCGAGTCAGTGGCTATTTGGCAACCACTCTCTTCCTATTGCCAAACAAACAAAGCTGTTGATTCAACAGCTGAAAAAAGCTTAGAGCTGCAGGCAGGTTTAATGTGTGAATGGCTGCATTATGAAAAGGCCGAGAAAGGCACAATCACACAGGCAAATGAACTTGGGCATATACAGTCATAGATGTCATACAGTATAACCCAGCTGCCAGAGACGTTTTGTTTTGTCTTTGCAAACATCACAGATCTGTTTTGCAGTGCACCTAAACTAGTAAAACATTGCAACAAATATCAGATATCAGTCCCCTCCTTTGCAATGATTTTGTAATTAGTCATTACATTCCTCAAAAATGTCTTAATGTAAAGATCTAATATATATCAGATTTTCCACAGCTATAAATTAGGTCAGGACACTTTCTTAAGACTAGATTTTACTGAAATGATTTTGTCATGTGCTAAATTCTGAGGGGAAAAACGTAGCTTCGACAATCCCAAAATATCACTGTCTTTATATAATATCTTGGTAGAAAGTGCTCTCTTGGTTGTGTCATTTCTTCTTTGTCCAGGCTGGGATACTGAGCTGGACTGGAAAGATGTACTCTCAGGAGGGGAGAAGCAGAGGATGGGCATGGCTCGCATGTTCTACCACAAGTAAGGATAAACAGCATCACTGTTGTCTGAATTTTACACTGAGGCCAGTTTACTATCATACACTCGACATATGGAGCACAAACTGTCAATCTGTTTTCTCACAGGAGCGATAAGCCTTTTTTTAGACACACTAAATGGTCCTGGGATGGCAGAGTTGGTCAGTCCACCCCTTTGATTGAGACTGAAATATTTAATGAATTTCTATGAAAGTTTGTTTAGAACTTTATGGTCCTCAAAAGAAGAATCCTACAGATATAGTGCAACTGTGGGACATTTTGGGGTTTTAGTGACATGTCTTGATAACTATTGATGGATTGTCATTAAATTAGGTACAGATATTCTTCAGAATGATTTGTAGTGCCTCGGTTGATCCTCTTTTGAATCTAGTGCCATCATTGGGTCACAATTTAAAATTGAATACTTTAGCTAATGACCAGATACCTGCAAAACTCATGACATTCTCACCATCAGCAGCTGTGTTATGTTTTTAGTGCTAATTGGCAAATGGTACCATGATAAAAAGCATAAATGTAAACATTAGACCTGCTAAACATTAGCCTGTTAGCATTTTCATTGTGAGAATGTTACCGTACAAGCAGGAACATTTAGCTCAAAGCACTGACCACCTACAGGCTACCACAGCTGCTAGTATGGTTTGAAGATAATAAATAAAACTCCTGCAGTATGGTTTTCCATATTTACATGTGCCAAAGTTTACAAAATGAAAGTCACAAGTGTTTCATAACTGTTAACCATCCACCTGATGTGGCAGTTTGCAGTTTTCAAACTTTTACACATGCACATGATCTCACTACATAACCAGTTTCATGTGTTACCAGACAGCAATTATTTAAACAATTTTTTCTATGTATGTTAGACCTAAATATGCCCTATTGGATGAATGTACCAGCGCTGTGAGCATTGATGTAGAGGGAAAGATATTCCAGGCTGCCAAGGATGCTGGCATCTCCCTGCTCTCCATCACACACAGACCCTCCCTGTGGTGAGACATCACACTAAAATCTTTTCTATTCTCTGAAACAGAAATTAGCTTTTTGGTGTATCATCTTCCTCATGAATGTACTGGAGAGGAAATCCACTAATGAAAGAGTATAAACTTGTGCTGTTTTTCCCCTTTGTCACTTTAAATCCTTTCTTTCTACCTCTAGGAAGTACCACACCCACCTGCTGCAGTTTGACGGGGAGGGAAGTTGGCGCTTCGAGCAGCTGGACACAGCAACCCGCCTCTCCCTCACGGAGGAGAAACAACGGCTGGAGGCCCAGCTGGCTGGCATTCCCAAGATGCAGCATCGCCTCAATGAGCTCTGCAAGATCCTGGGAGACGATTCGGTCCTCAGAACAGCCGAGGAGTGGGAGGGAGGGGGAAGAGGCTCAAAGGGGAAAAGAGAAAAGGGGGCAGGAGAAGAGACTGTGGGAAACAGAGAGGGAATCAAAGGGGATTTGCTTGTTTAGATTTTTTTCAAGCCTCTCCCATTAATGTTAGCTAGTCTTTGCATTCTCCTTTCTCCTGAAGTGAAGTGGATTCACAAGTATTATTCCCCCCTTATAGTGTGCTCACTAAGTTGTAGATTTTAAATGTTTGGTTATAGCGCACAAACAATTTTGCAGTTAGTTTGTCACAGTTGAAAGTGACAACACTGATTAAACCGAAATAATTTGTTTGTTTTACAGCACTTTGCTTTTAGAGGACTTTTAAGGAAAACCTTTTAAATGGAACCACTATATAATGTTGAAACAGTATTCCATGCCTAGTATGCTGGGTTGAGCAGGATCCACATATGTTTTTATTTAATTTAATGTGGCCTCTTAGTTTTTTGTAATTTAAGAATGTCACAATATGGCTTTGTTTAGTTTGTGTATACAGCTGTAGTACAATCCCTTTCCTTATACCTCATTCTAGCCCTTGTTAGGTTATTGCTTACTATCACATGACTTGCAGGAAAAGAGCCAATCTGAAGTCTGCTGTTAGAGCAATTAGTGATCCTGGTCTGACTCCAAAACTATAGGCTTCTGGTTTATTAAACAAATACAATGAGATAAAGAGCCCCCCTTCATAAAGGAGCAAATGTAAGACTGTAGTTTGCTCTACATGGTACAACAGGTAGACATTCAGGCATTACAACTGTCAGTTGCATGTACATGCACCGGCCACCTGTTGATAGTGAACACACTGGTGTTGCGGATGCCTGCTGGGACTCATGTGCTGCTCATCCTCTTTTGAGCCTATTTAGATGCACACAATGGTTAGAGCCGTCAGTTGAGGTGGCGCCACAGATGGCTGCCATCGGTTCTGTACCGGAAACAAATTCTTTGTTTGTAACATACTTGGCCAATAAAGGTGATTATCCTATTATCCTTATCCACATCACATGATGGTACTGGGTAATGAGTTGAAACACTCTGCCAATCAACAGCTTATACAGTGAGAGTAGACTTCTTATAAATTTGATAAAGTAAGAGATACTTTATAGTAGATTATACCTAATTTGTGTACAGGTATTTCATAATAGGGCTAATATAGAGCAGTAGAAAGAACAGAGGTCAGGGTTGTGCATAGATTACAGATTTTAGAGTTGTGGGGATTTCATTTGTAGCTCAGAGACACTTTAGCGGGTTGTTTGCCTCTTGACCATAACGTACTCCTGGTTTTTCAGCTGCCGTCAAAGTAGATTGTTTTTCCACATTCAGCCAGCAACTCATCCGAAGTTGTTGTGATACTGTGAAGTTAGTGATTTTGGTACATTAATATAATTTTGTTGTTATTAAAAAGTCACAAACGCTGTATCCTTGTGGTGGTTTTAAGCAGTTTTTGTGGCAGCTTAGGTCATTTCCCTTTTTTCTGTATCTTAGCTGCATGAAGAGGCTCAAGGACACAGACTTGGGCTGTCTTTTGCCTCTCAGATTGTTCTGCCATAAATAGGAGAGGGGATCATATGCCATTCATTTGTCATCTTCAGATTCCACCATAAACATAAGGAGTTTTATACATATGTGGTTTAATTCAGTCATTTGGGCCTGAGGCTGAAAAAGCAAAAAAGCACACTAAAACATTTACATTTAGACCGCTTTTGTTGTGACTCTAAAACATTTTCCTTCACCTTTATTGTTTATTATGTGAAATTCATCAACGTGTGAGACCACACTAGAAATGTGCATATGGTGAAATCTGTATGTATTTGTATGAGTGGTCCAGGTGTTGCACAAACACAGAAGACAAAGGACTTCTTGTGTTCTTATTCTTACACTGTATTGCATACAAGGCTCAATCCTTGTCATTTCCAAGCCTGAGTGACTAGCACAGTGTAATAATATCAGGTCATCTCTGTCTCTGTTAACATGCCTCTGTTTGGGGAGCAGCACCATGTTGGTGTTGGCTCCTTGTTGCTGAGGATGGACAATCAGTCACATCATCAGCAGGATACAAACAAGTGTACTGCTATCCTTCAAACTACACCCCATAGCTGGTTGTTTTCTGAAAAGAAATAAGTAAAGGGATTATAGGTATAAAGCCTAGCCTGCTAATATAAATTGCTAAGAAACTTAAAATGTATATTGTTGCATATGCATGTTTAAGTTTAGCAAATTCCTTTTGTTATTCCGAGCTTTAACTGCATCCAATATGTCTAAATCGTTGAACCCTCCTCTTATGGGACAGTTCAAATAAAGGACTTTCCGATGCTCGGGGTAATGGCTGCTAGCTTACTGAAAGACAAACTTACCCTCAAATGTGACTGCGGAAGAAAGTGAATCAATTAAACACTGAAATGTCAATGAATTCCTTTAATATCTAATGTAATAATAAACTATGCTTGTCGATGGTCTTGTAATATAATCTGGACTGAAAAAAGTACACTTTTATTTGGTATGCAAGAGAGCATCATGGGCATTACTGTAGGTCTTGAAATGACACAGGAACCCTTTCAACAGCATTATGTGCTGGAGTTTCTGAAGAAGAGTATGTTGTCTTTTCAGACTCTGTTGACAGACTGGCAGACACACCACTGTATGACACAGAGTCTGCCAAGTGACAATGATACATGAGGTCCGCTCCAGAGCAGAGAGTGCCAGATATTCATAGGCAATTATCATAGCTTCAATAATGAAGCCAGAAATACTTTTATTACATTTTGAACAGATTGGATAAGACATGATGAGGTGTCTACTTCTCAGTATGTTTGTGGTCCTGCATACATGAATTTCATCTCAAAATGATGTGTGTCACAGTATTTATTTCTTTAAAGTAGCTGTGATGTAATATTTGATATGTAGAAGGTGACAGGTAATGTTGTGTTCACAGTTTTGTTCCACTGTATCTGAGTGGCCAAAATTAGTCGATTATTAGTAAATGCTTATTTATCTATATCACTAATGGTACCTCATCATTTCTTGTCCATTGAGGAAACAACTTACCAGTGAAATCAGGCCTATAGTGACCTACTACACTGTATGACCCTTCTATATACTGTAATGGCATCCTCACTAACCAAACTTTGATACTGAAACTTTCTTATTGTCATCCCTTTTGTAACTAAGAGATTGAATGTATGATAAAGCAAATCCTAAGATCATGAAGACAATGAATACATGTGGTCAGGTCATACAAGTTTCTTTTTGGTTTCATAATTGAGATTTTTATTATTGTGTTAACAGTGCATGTAATGTTACCTGATTAGAATCATGCTGTGAGGTTTAAAATGTGATTTACTGTACATGTGGTGGTGTGTGAACTGGGGTTATGAAGAAGAAAATTGCTTCTGAGTTTGAAATTCCATGTCATTCCAGTGGTGTAGGATAGTCAAATCAATATTTATTAAAACTTGAGCTATGGATCAGGCTGTCCTGGACCACAGAAACAACATGCAGTGATTTTCCCTCAAAGCCAGGGTTCACCGCATTAGGGACTAGCTACATAGTTACTTGTCAAACTTATCAAAAATTCCATACATAAGACTAGTTTATATTTTGAATTCCTGTAATAGTAGGCTTCCATGTGCATGTGTAGGATCAGGTCTTTAACCTTAGAACCAAGAGAGGTACATTAACAAAAGTCATCTGTTTAAAAATCATGCGCTGTAGTCACTTTATGTTAAAAGATGATGTATTTTCTTGTAAATAAAATAATACAGAAGAATGGATTGTGTTTATTGTACATGATGTCTTGGTGGATGAGGCTCTTAATACATGTTCGTGGCTCTGTTGCTTTATGGCTACACTTAACATCTGAATGACAAGGCTTCTCATTTGAAGCAAACTGTCTTTGAAATGGGCCGTACATTATAATTAAATGTAATAAATAAACTGCCTCAATCTCACATTACACACTAATTCTACACACTAAGCCATGCAAAACAATATGATAAGAAATAGAAGTTTAATAATGCATGCAAAGTAGTGACCTATATACAGTAGCATAGAACTGAGGCATAGCAAAAGAGTCTGTGAAGCCATCTGCTGTCCATGTCAGGTGATGCATGAACTCAGCTAGTCGACCACAAAACGGCAGCATACCCAAGCTGCAATGTTCATTTCAGAATCAGAATCTGCTTTATTGGCCAGGTGTGTCGGACACACAAGGAATTTGACTCTGGTACATCTGATCTCAATGTGTATGTATGTATGTTTAATGAGCTTTATGACCTACTACAAGTCACTCAGGTCATTGTGGCCGTCCTAATCTAACTCATGGATAAAGTATTTAACAGACCTACCAGACGCAGGCTCGGGGGGCCCCTGGACTAGAGCCTGTATGAGTATAAATGGATGCAAAACAGCCATAAATAGATGCAAAATGAAAACAACCTCATATATAAAACAAGCAAAACCCACAAAAAGATTGAAAACAACTAAAAGGAAAAGCAAACTAACTAAATAATGAATGTAGACCGAAAGGTGCAAAGAAATGTAAAATGACCATAAAGACAAAACAACAAAATAGATACCAAACGACCACATAGATGCAAAACGACTAAAAAGAGATACAAAACTCTCTTTAGATGTGTTTGTGTGAGGGGGATGGGGGTAAACATATGTGCCCAGGAGCCCAGTGTCTCGTCTCGACTTAAGTTCGAGAGCTTTAAACCGCGTCTCACGGTGTTTTTCAGCTGATGGAGTCTAATTTCTAATAGAAAGTAGTCTACAATGAGCCTTTTAAAGAGATTACTGAATATTTCTTATTTGTCACGCCTTGGTTTACCTTGTCAAACGCATTAACACAAGTATACGCTTCTTTTTCTTATGTTCTGCACGTGATCTGGTGAGATGTGAGGCAGGTTACCCCCTGTCTCGGTTGGTACAGCTCAGGAGGAGGAGTTTGCTTACGTCCTCCGTCTTAACAATCATACAATTCTAGTTCACATACTGCTGTCGAGCCGGCCTTAAAGCTGAGACGGTACCTCTGGAGAGGTAACCCGTCGCTGGATCCCGAAGCACATTTCCCCAAATCATATTTAGTTGCTCCGTCGGACAGAACATGGCTCGTATCTCCAAGCGGGAGAGGAGAAGGTGAGAACGCCGGCGGTGGAAGAAGTGCTTTTCTCAGAGGTGTCGGGAGGTCGGAGGGGGCCCAGGTCGCTCTCTTGTCTTGTAAGAGGATAAAGATAAAAGGGAAATCAAGCAATTTTAAGCGGACTGTTTGGGCCAGCCGATGACACCATGACTAGCGGGCCGGATGAGAGCTCGGTTCGAGTCGCCTTGAGGTAAGGATGCAGCGCGTGGACCCTCCTCTCCAAAGATGCTCTTGTGTCACACCTGCAAGAACCATTAGTTGCACCCCTTAACCTGCTATCATTAGCCATCTATTCATTGAACCTACTTGTAAACAGATACCTGAATATACCAGAGCCACTGTAGTGCATCCAGTCTTCCACATCCTTCCAAAACAAAACTCCCTCTTCTCTAAATGCGCTTTTATTTTGAAGCAGCATAGAGTGTTTGTGCTATCAATACTTATGAAAAGAGCAGCAGTATTGATGTTTACTGCCTGGTTTACACAACAAATATAAAGCAGTAGCCCACGAGTTTCTTTTTTTTTTTTTTTTTTAAATACCTGCACTGCATGTGCATGCTGGGTAGTGGATTTATTAATGAATATCTATAGCTGCTGTGTTTCCTGTAGAATCTGACAGTGTCTATGAGGATACATTGCTTTTGCTTCACATTTCAATTACTGCCTGCTTTTGATTTCTGTGTTTTGTGTAGTATTTGTGTGTTGTATGTTGTGTTTCAGGCAGTGTGTGCTGCCTGTATTATGCTGATCTGACCTTTGTCCCCAAGGCCTGTTCATGCTGTCACTCAGATGGTAGACAAACTGAGATAGTCTTCTCCCTGGTTGGGTCCATGGGTGTTTTGGGAACAGGACTGAACAGAAGAGAAGCCTAGGTGGAGCCTCAAACAACAAAACAAATACAGGCCAACATGACAGGCGCTTGTCTGTAAATATGAGTGTGTGTGTGTGTGTGTGTGTGTGTGTGTGTGCGTGCACACATGTGCGCATTGGAAAGACAATCTGAAACGTCATGTGAGCTGGATCAGTGGAAGAGAGAGGACAAAAACGTGTTCCTCTCGTGTTTCTTTTCCCTCTCTTGTTATTGTACATTCAGACTTTGACCCAGAACTCTCTTTAGTGAGCCAACTACTGGCCTGTCTCTCTCCTTCAGAGATAATAAATCATCTTTCAACATATCCCATCAAACACTGTGGTTCATCAGTGCTCTACAGTTTAGTAAGAGTCTGTTCCCATGTGACTGCTTTCCTCAGCAATGCAGTGTGGGTGTGGGGGTGCTGTCTTGGTTTACTGTGTTTTTTAATAAGTTCTAAGCTTTACAACATACAAAAGAACACAACCACACACATGCTTAAAAGCTGATGATGAGCTGACAAGTAAGGTATTAGGCAGGTGTTGTATTTGTCCTTTTGAATGGAAACTGCCTGCTATTGTTTCTTCTTCAAAAGTGCAGGCTTTATTAATCATTTGGGGAGTTCTTTCATTTGGTTGGGTTTCCACCTTTACTTCTGGTGATGGTCTGTTGACTATTCATTGGTTTATTCTTTCACTCACTGACTTATTCATTCATTTGGCTGTTTTGTCTTTCTTTCTTTCTTTTGGGAACAAATAGCATAAATTATGTAATGATTACAATCATTAATGAGGGGACTGTGTGACACTTGCATAAACTCAGGAAAGGTTTTCTTTTAAGCTTGAAGCTATAACTGGTTTGATCAAATGGGTAAAGGACAGAGTTAAAGGTTTTGGTCATTGTGATACTACAAAAAATGAAACTTCCTGAGTCATGGTTTGCAGCTGAGAGCTAATCTGGTTTTATATGAGGGCAGCTGTGGGATCTGAAATGCTTGATCACTGATCTCTTCTTCTTTCACCAGTACTCTCCTATCCTTCCCTGCAACCTCCTCAATCTTCCTGTGTCATTCAAGGCACCTTTCTCTGTCTCAAAAACAAATTCAGAG